ACAGGAGTTCCAAAGCTGTAAATCTTCACAAAAGCAGACTGCCATATGTTTTTCCCATTGGGCAGCTAGTAGATTTGATCTGCTGACCTTTTGGTTAATATCCAAATGCCTTCATCTTGGGCCACCTAGTTCTATTCGGGCCTATCTACTGCCTAAAATGCCTAAAGAAAAAATTATTTTTCTGATCCAGAAGGATTTCATTTCACTCCAGATTAGCAAAGCTAAGAGTCATCGGGAGTGCATTACACAGTATGAAAAACATCATTAACAATTAACCAAACAAAAACAAAACTCACACTTCTAAAGGGGAAAAGAGTATAAGCCAAGAGAAACACAATCAAGATGTTGAATGTGCCAATAAGCCACATCTCACCAGCTCCAGGTTCCACCGAAACCCTTTCCCTGTGGGATGTATTTCTATAGAGACTGTCTCTCTGTTCCATAAATAAAACGAGAAGTTGCTAGGAAACAGTCTGGCTTCTCAGGACACAATTGAAGAGGAGTGGCCCGCTTCCTAACAAGAAGTACAAATAGCTGAAGCCTTTCCTGACATGCCCGCTGTGGTGATGAAACCCAAGATTCTCAATACATCTCTTTTACAGAACCCAGGACAGCTCTGGTGGCGTAGTGGGCAGGAGTGGCACTGCCACTCCACTGGAACGCAATTTGAACCCACCAGCTGCTCCGTGAAAGGAAGAGGGACAGTCTCCTCTCATGTGATTTACTGCCTCTGAAAATCTGCTGGAGGGTCAGCCACAGGTTGGTTCCAACTCAAGGGTACCTAATAAAAAGACGAAAGCGCTCCTTCTGCATATTCCTACTTAGCCACTGTTGTTTGGAAGTTCTGTTGTTCAGAAGTACATTCGCGTTAGCTGGCGCTGACTCCTAGCTGACACTACGTAAAACAGAATGAAAGACGGGCAGATCCCATGCCATCCTTCCATGTGATGCTATACTTTGGCCCAGCGGCATTATCTATGTCAATGCACCCCTTCTTTGGAGACTTTCTCTTTGTTGCTGACCCTGTACTTTCACAACAACTACTTCAGCAAGCATGATGTCACTCTCACAACTGGCCCTTCTTCCCTCGCCTCCAAAGAGCACTCTGGCTGTATTTCTTCCAAGACAGTTCGGTCTCAGCTTTAAACTGATGACTTAACTTAGACCCTGAGATACTTTTCTCTGTAGTAATCTTGCATTTTCTCTTTTAAGATCTCTTCCAAATAAGTCATACCACCTATTTCATTTAATAGTGTCCAGGCACATCACTTAATATTCCCAAGTTACTAATATTCATTCCATCAAAAGGAAAAAAACTCGCTTGCCATTTCTCAAGTCAAAGGAACTGAAGAATAAACTCAAGCCTCAAGTAAGTTACAGTACTCAAAGATTCTATGGGCAAAATATTTATTGAGTGAGCCAGGAAGCATCACAAGAAGAAATATGAGTCACTTGTTTTGTTTTGTTTTGTTTTTCAGGAAATAGCATGTGATCAAGAACTAATGGTAATAAAAGAGGTAGTTCAAGCTGATCTGAAAGAATTGGCAAAAAATAAGGACCCAGAAATTGATGGAATACCAAGTGACATATTTCAACAAACTGGAGCAGCCCCAGATGCACTCACCGGGCTGTGCCAAGAAATCTGGAAGACAGTTAACTGGGAGAGATCAATATTTACTCCCATTCTCAAAAAAAGATACTCCAAAAGAATGTAGAAATTATTGAACAATTTCACATGCAAGCAAAATAATTCTGAAGATTATTTAAGAAAAGGGCTAGACCAGAAATACCAATTGACATATTTCAAAAACTGATGCAACCCCAGATGTACTCACCAGGCTGTGCCAAGAAATGTGGAGGACAGCTAACTGGCCAAGTGACTGGAAAAGATACATATTTATTCCCATTCTCAAAAAAGAAGATCCGAAAGAATGTGGAAATTATTGAACAGTATCACTAATATCACATGCAAGCAAAATCATGAGGATTAACCAAAAATGACTACAACAGTACATAAAAACAGAAATAAAAGCTGCGACACTAGGGATATCACTGCTGATGTACGATGGATCTTGGCTGGCAACAAAGAGAAGTCTTTGTGTTCTATCAACTATGCAAATAATAATGATAAGTTTATAAAACATAGTATTGATGAATCTGGAGGCATATTTTACTGAATGAAAAAAATAAGACACAAGGGGAAAAATATTACATGACCATGCTTTTATAAAGGGTCAAGAATAGGTAAGCACGCGTAATATCCCCCAGGTTCATCAATGGTATGTTTTACAGACTCATCATTATCCTTGATTGTTTGATATTCCCCTGTATATATGTATACCTATTTTTTTTCAGTTAGTCATCTGTTGATGGGCAGTAGTTTGTTTCCATCTTTCTGTTATTATTAATAATGTGGCAATGACATGAATGTATATATGTATATTCAGGGCAGTTGTATCTCTAGGATATTCAACTCAGATTAAAAATCCGGGACTATTAAAGTTTGTATACTTCTAGGTTTTTGAGGACGCTCTAAAGCATTTTACAATCCTGCCAGTATGTATAAAAATGCCAATCATTCCACGACCTTGATAACATTTATTTTCTGTTTCTTTGCTCAGGAACATATTTGCAGGAGCAAAATGATCTCTCATTGCAGTTGTAATGTTGTATCTCTTTGACTGCTAATGATCGTAAGAATCACTTCATGTGTTTGTTACCTGCCACAACGTCTCCTTGGGTGAAGCCTCTGCTCATGCAGTGACATACCAAGGGGGGTGAGGAGGAGTGTGGGCCTCACCAGCTGACACTATCAGAGCAACCAACACCAAAATTACTGTCCATAAAACCGCACTGTGGTGTTTCAACAAAAAGTATTCTTTTTATAAAAATATTCCTGTAGATACTTGTAACAACAACAGCATTTTTCATAACCCCAACTTATATGTACCAATATACTTAAAGGTAAAAACTCTATGCTAATTTGTTTTCTTGAAACTTTTAATGCATTGTCAACAAAACTGTTACTCCGAATCATACGGTTTCATCTGCACATGAAAAAAGCGATTGCTTTGGTTTTCATGGCTGTTGGTGTAATTACTGTTGCTGAATCTGTTAAACTGTTCGGGTTTCAGCTACAATATTTTGGTAATTAGCATTTGTGAAGCAGAATCAATAATTTCTTGGGGGATAAAGTATTAATTAAAGGAAAAGAAGAAAATAGTAAAAGGTTTTCACCCAGATACTTACAATATAACTAATGATATAAACCACTGAAAAAGATTTTATGAAACAGTCTTGTTCTTAGTATTCATATTCTATGGTCAAAATTGATAATAAATTATTATTAAAGATCTCATATGATCTGTTATGGGAAGAGATCCATGGGCGGGGCAGGGCGGGGGAAGGTATGTAGGGGGTTAGTTAACAAACTGGGTAACACTAGACGTGGCATCACTGTGTTCATGTCCTTTGCCCATTCTTGTATTATTTGTCAGTTATTCAAGTTTTCTATATAATTCAGAGGTTAAATTCTCATCAGATTATGCCATTACAAAAAAAAACCTTTCCCCTAGTCTAGGTTCTTTGGGTAAAATCCACTGATGAGTTTGGGTTTTTCATTTATAGGCAGTTTCAGTTTTAGGCTCTAGCTGTCATATAGTTTTTCTTCTGATGTTCATGTATTTTTAATTGTATTTGATAGTCTATTTATGCATAACCTCAGACCCTTAACTTTTGTCCCTGTGCTAGCTTCCAGGAACTTTATAGTTTTAGCTTTAACATCTAGGTCTTTGACCACTTTTTAAAAATTTTTATTATTATTAATTTTAATGAAAATGTACAGAGACTTCTAATTTCTATTCATTCATTGTTGCACTTTTCTCCCTTCCCACTCCTCCCCTACAGTTTGCTCTTCTCTTTGAAAAGTAAAAGAAAAATTCTTTCATTGTTATACAATCCCTCCCCCCAAGTCCACACCACTAAGCAGCCTTTGTTCTGGACTCTTACCATGACAATAATGTCTGATCACTTTTTAGCTACTTTTTTTGTGTATGATTTGATATACAAATCCTGTTTCATTTTTCTTCAGATTAATATCTAGCTTGGCCAATATCTTTCATTGGAGAGACTGTCTCTTCTCTATTTTGAAAATCAGTTGTTCATGGATGTTGTTAGGTGCCATCAAGTCAAGTACAACTCTTAATGACCCTATGAACAACCGACTTGAACCCTTTCTATCCTGTGCCATCTTTGTCATCTCTGACAAAATCAAGTCCATAAAAGGATAGACTGATTTCTGGGTTTTCAATTTCACTCCATTGGTCTATGTGTCTGTTTTGTTCCATGTTGTTTTGAAGACTGTGGCAATGAAAGAAGTTCTGAGTTTGGCAAACATCTTCGTCCTGAATATTGCTTTAGATATTTGAATAACCGATGCAAATTAGCTACAAAGAAATGGAGCTGCTTTATTAAAAGAAATGACAACTCATGTTGAACTCATTTTTCAGAATATGGCACTTTCATCACTCAATTGATCTAGGATAGATCCAGGAATTTTGAAGTAAAAGGAAAACTTAGACTTCATATTCTATTAATGAAAGTCTGCTCTTTAAAGGCTCAGAACATATTCCTAACAATTATGCAAATCTAAACATCTTTTTCACACAGTTTAAACATGTTCATCAATGTTAACAGCCACCTCTTTCCAAAATGAGACTGTTCAGGAAGAGCAACTGGCAGTTTTGAAAGAAAATACTTAAAATTTGAGGCATCTGACGTTTAATTTGGTAGAGATGTAACCATAAAATTCACATAAGCAAAGTTACTGAGAACTGTTGACTCCTTTCCCTCAAAAGAAAGAAAACTTCCCAGAATCTTCTAGTACAGGTACGATTCCCACCCTACACCCATATCCAGGTGGGAAAGAATACAGACTAGGACCATATCAGAGTGAAATGGCATGCTCTAAGCCACACTCAAATCCACTTTCTTTGACTCACCTATATGATAGAGTCCAATCCAATCACTGGGGTCCACCTCCTCCTTGATGTCCCAGAAGATGATGAGGTTCTGGGCTTGCCCCAGCGTGTACTCATACATGCTGGCCGTCAAGCTGGAGCGGCTCTCGGAAGTCACAAGGTCAGTGTCACTATTGGCCCGCTGGAGGGCCATGTTCTCTGGCATGGAGCTCTGGGCGGCGAGGCTCTGGAGATTCTCAGGGCTCAATGTGTATCGCATCTGAGGATTTCGCCGCCGCACAAAGAGGAGATGCTCCCGGGCTGAGCTGGCCATCCTGTCTTCCTCTCTAAGACTGGCTTCCTACAAAGCTGCAAGAGAGAGAGCCAAGCACGAGGCATTAGTGCCGCGATGTGAGGAGGTGGGTTTAAGCTTCCCAGACACAAAGCCTGAGGACTGTTTATTAAAGCCTGATCCCACAATAATCTTCTGCTGTCAAAATAAAACCTATTATTTTACTGACAACAGATGAGGTCAGAAACAATTTCTATAGACTGAGGTTACAGCAGGGCAAAGGCTATCACACCACTGTGACCACTGATTTCATGCAAAACAGCTTCCTCCTGGCAATTGAGGAGAAGGGAGTTTGTCTGCCATCCCTGAAGATCTATCCTTGCCCGAACACCCCACCTTCAGAAATGGCATCCTCTTTCTTTCCTTATAATACTTGTATTTATCTCCTTTTGCAAATAAATTTTTAAAGCAGCAAGACAGAAAAATTTTACATACACACATCTTTTTGTGGTGGTGTTGTGTACCATCGAGTCAGAACTGACCCCTAGCTGATCCTCCAGTTGTTTTTCAGCGGCAGCTAATCACGTGGGAGGAGACTGCCCATCTTTCTCCTGAGGAACAGCAGGTGCATTGAATTGCCTGCCTTCAGGATTGCAGTGCAGCTTCTTGCCACTAGGCCACCAGAGATCCCTACACATATATTACACATCAATATATATATATGTACATCCACAAAACACACACATATCTTCTACATCTAGCTGTCCTTGCCGATGCAAACTGTCAGCTTCTAACCAAAAGGTTCGAAGTTCAAGTTTGTCTAAAATCAGTTAAGCAGAAAAGGCTAGGTACTCTATTTTTTTTTTTAATTAGCCAGTGAAAACCCTATAGAACACTCTTCTACTCTGATACATGAAGAATTATCATGAGTCAAGGTTGATAGCACCTTATTTGTAGTGGTGTTGTTACTGTGGTTTACACACAAATCATTGTGAATACAAATTGACCTGCTTTATTTCCTTAGCTAAGATTATATAATTCGCTAATATCATTTTAGGAGCCTGCTCAAATATCACTTTCTCACTGAAATCTGATGGCCATATCAATTTAAAACAGCCCTCCCCAGGCATTCTCCAGGACTCCTTTCCTGCTATTCTTTTTTTAAACCACATTTATAATAATGGTCTTATACAGTATTTGTCCTTATGCGACCGAGTTAGTTCACTTAACATAATGCTCTCCAGACCTTTCCAAGTTAGGTAGTAATTTACAAGATCATTGCTTCTGCGTGCTGTAGTCGGGGCGGGTAGAGCAGATGGGTGAGGATAGGCAGGGAGGGGGGTGCTTAATCATAGGGTCACTTAATTTGATGGGTGGAGGAAGTTAAAGGAAAGGTGAAAGAGCCAGTGTGAAAAACAATGCATACAAACTTCCTAAGTAAACCAGTAGAAAATAAAAATATTATTTAAAAGAAGAAATAAAATTTTTAAAAAAAAGCATTTATTAGAATCAGATTTAACACATATTATTTGATTATTGTCTAACACCTTCAACAAAATAAGCTTCACAGAGAAAGGAATTTGCATCCATCGTGTTTATTTCAGGAGACTTAACATTAAATTGTTAAGTGAATGGATGGACAAACACTAGTACTTTTCTCTTGGCTACTTCTTGGCATGACTGACATCTTAGGTACCTTGACTACTCCTCATCATCCTCAATTTTCCGACTAGTCCACTCTATATCTATCGTCTGGACCCACGACGAGCTTTGGCTTCCACTTGGCCTTGATCTAGAGGCAAAGGGCCTTCCCTGTTGGAAACTATAATCCTAAAAGTCCACTTTTTTCCCCCCTTCACTGACAGACTGAACAGGGATTCTTGTCAAGACCTCACACTTTCAAGTACATTCCAGCTTCCCTCTGCCAGACCTTATTGATTTTGTCCAGAATGATTCTAGTTCCCGGTACACTGCCCTCTTCTAGAATGACAATCTACACTCACTCTTCTGTGAATTTAATATTTTTCAGGAACGATGTCTCGCATACCTTGGGCATGCTGTCAGGAGAGACCATTTGCTGAGAAAAATATCACACTTGGAAATATGGAGGGTGAGAGAAAGAGGAAGACCCTCAACAAAATGAACTGACACAGTGTCCGTAAGAAAGAGCTCACGCACATTAGAGATGAAGACGACGGTACAGGATAGGGCAAGGTTGGAATCTGATGTTCACAGGATCACTATGAACGGAAGCCAACTTGATCACACCGAACAACAGCAACAAGCAGGACCTACTGACCTATTTGTTGTTGTCAGGTGCCGTCGAGTCAAGTACAACTCACAGCCACTCTATGAACAGCGGCTCTGAACCACATCCTCTTCTGTGCCATCCTCACACTTCCTGACACACTAGAGACCACTGTGGCAGTCTACTGTGTCAATCCACCTCGTTGAAGGTCTTCCTCTCCTTCACCAGCCCTCCACCTTCAAACCATCATGTTCCTCTTCAAGCCCCTCCTAGCAACATGCCCAAAATATGTGAGGTGAAGCCTCATCACCCTTGCCTCCAAAGAGCACTCTGGCTGCACCCTCTCCAAGACATGTTTGTTTGTTCTTTTGGCCGTCCATGGGATCTTCAAGGCTCTTCTCCAGCACCACAGCTCAAAGGCATCAACTGTTCTTCTATCATCCCTATTCACTGTCCAGCTCTCAGAAGCATAATTCTGACCTATTAACTGTCACATATTTCATTAAGGGGACAGCTCTACTTGGTCACTGGGGAATCAGAATGAGGTTCCGATTAAAACAAGGTAAAATGACCATGCAAACAAAAAAGTAACTATTACAACAAACAATCCTAAACATGAAGTCTTAGAAGATCAGAAGCGAAAGAACGGTAGAGGAAGGGAATAGTGTTCACTAATCTACCCTCTCTCTTCATAAACACTTTAGGTGAAGAAGATATCCTACCATTAGTAAGGATTATAGTATTTACAAGTACTTATGCAAGTACTTTCTCCCAGAAATTTTATTTCAAACTGTTAGCACTATATGTGAATTAAAATAACTTGGATTAGTGGTCAAAATACCCTATGTGAAAAGGACAGAAATAAAAAAGAACATAAAAGTTGATTTAACCAGTTGAATGACATTAAGTCCCTTTGCTGAGAGTAAGGAGCATTTGAAATGCCTTCAGCAGAAGATCAAGGACTATAGCCTTCCATATGGATTATATCTCAACATCAAAAAAACAAAGGTCCTCACCTCTGGGGCAATAAGCAGCATCTTGATAGAGAAAGGACTGAAGTTGTCAGTTATTTCATTTAGTTTGGATCAACAATTAACATCCTTGGTACTTGCACTCAGGGATTGCTCCAAAATACTGAAGAGCAATCATGTCTGTTTAAGACCAAAGTGCACCTGATTCAGGTCATGGTCTTTTCAATCACTTGTTTTGGACCTCAGAACTGGGCAATGCTTAAAGATGAAAGAAGAAGGAGAACTGATACCTTTGAGTTGAGGACTGACGAGGGAATAAATAGAAATGTCTTGGAGAAGGTACAGACAATGTGCTCCACAGAGGCAAGGAAGGTGAAGCTTCATCTCTAATATGCTGGCCATGTTGCTTGGAGAAACTATTCCTTGGAAAGAGATATCATGCTTGGAAATGTGGAGGGTCAGTAAAACAGAGGAAGATTCTCAATGAGATGGACAGACATGGCGACTGCAGCAATGGACTCAAGTGTGTCAGGGATGAGGATGGCACAGGATAGGATGGGGCTCAGGTCTCTTGTTAGCAGGGTCACTATGAATTGTGCTCCACTGATGGCACCTAATAACAGCAATAATGACTCATAATAATTTAGTACTTCTTTTCTTTATATGGATAGGGTGGCATCTGAGCCTGCAATTGTTAAACAAACTTAAATATCTACTATGAACCCTAAAATACAAAACAATCTCTAATCTCTTTCATGCTATTTTCACTTCAGATCTCAACAGATAATTTTTATAAGTCCAGAGTTAAACACTACATAAGCTTCAGCTGATTAAGAAAGAAAAGCTGTATATACTTAAATTTCACTCTGCCTCAAAACAGTCACCTATTACGTGGTGATAACCAGAACGTATTTTTTAAGATTACTGTAAGGACTAAAAAAAAAAGTCCATCATTAAACTGCTCAATAAAAAGCAATGGTTTGGGTAAATACTAGCACATTCACAAGTTGGCAACAAAAGAAAAACTAAACTGAACAACTACTCTTTGCCGTCAAATGAGAATGGACTCAGAGCTGACCATCCTGTAGCTTTGTGAGCTGTAAATCACACTGCAGGTAACTGCACATCTTTCTCCAGCGAAGTCACTGATGAAGTCAAACCACTAGTGGTACAAGCACAACTACAGACTGTGCCATGAGCGGTCCCTGTAATTACCAAAACATTTACTTGGAACGTTAGATAGGGGTGTATCTTACAGGATTGTTTTACTGAAGTTGAAGGTTTACAATCATACTCTTATGAGACAACTCAGTCAACTGGAATAATACAGTTCATAGTTTATGGTTTTACAGACTACTTTGGTAAGCATCATCTAGTAGGGTCATTAGAGCTCTTAGGCAGCATCCAAGATACAACTCTTAGTCTTGTCTGGAGAAAAAAAGAGAAAGAAAAACTAAAAAATTCCAAGAAAGAACTAGTTTAAAGGGTGAATGTTCACAGTAGCATTATTCACCATTGCAAGAACATGGAAACAGCCCAAATGCCCAGCCACAATGGAATGGATTGAGAAATTGTGGGACAGCCACACAATAGAATACTATGCAGCATGCAGAAGCAAGGATTTAAAACCTATTACATAACTTGGGAGAGATTGGAGAACATTATGCTGAATGAACTAACTCAGTCCCAAAAGGACAAATACTGCATAAGACTATGACTGTAAAAAATAGAATGACAACTAGCAAAATGTGTATTCAAGGAAGTCAAGGGGGCCAAGGGTAGAAGCAGAGGGGTGAGGATGAATAGGGGTGAAACCACAGGGTTGCACAGTTTGGTGGGTGAAGGGAGCATGGGAAGGACATG